AATCAGCCCAGGCATTGTGGCTCACACCGGTAATCCTAGCACTCTGGGAAACCCAGGTGGGAGGATCGCTTCAGCTCAGGAGTTGGAGACCAGCCTGAGCAAGAGTGAGACCCCATCTCTACTAAAAATAGAAAAATTAGCCAGGTATCAAGGCATGCACCTGTAGTCCCAGCTACTTTAGAGGCTGAGGCAGGAGGAAGGCTTGAGCCTAGGAGTTGGAGGTGGCTGTGAGCAACAATGATGCCACTGCACTCTACCCAGGGCAACAGAGTGAGACTCTGTCTCAAAAAAAAAAAAAAAAAAAAAATAGTAAAGAAAAGAAAAAATTAAATCACAATGAAATATCGCTATACATCCATTACAATGGCTTAAAAAATACTGACAATACCCAATATTGAAAAGGATATGGAGCAACTGAAGTCCACACACATTGTGGATAGAAATATAAAATGGAACAGTCAGGAAAATGGTTTGGCAGTTTCATGTCAAGCTAAATGTGCACTTACCCTTTCATGCAGCAATTTGATTCCTCAGTATTTACCCAAGAGAAATGATAATGTGTGTTCACATAAAGACTCGTACATGTATGTTTATAGCAACTTTCTTCATAATAGCTAAAAATTGGAAATAACTTGAGTTCTCATCAACAGGTAAAATAAACAAATTATGTTTTTCCATATAATGGAATATTGCCCTGCAATGGAAATGAATGAATTACTGATCACACAACGACATGGATGAATCTCAAAAAACATTGTACTACATTAAAAAAAAAAGGCCAGGTACAAAAGAGTCTGTTTAGTGTATGTTTCCATGAATATGAAATTCTAAGAAAGATAAAACTAATCTACAACAGTGCAAAACAGACCCATGGTTGCTTCGGCTGGATGAGGGGTGGGGATATTGACTTTTCAGATGGCATAAGGGCATTTTTGAGGGGCAGTGATTGTGGCATTGGTTACTTGGGCATATGCATTTGTCAAAACTTAACCACAGTACACTTAAAATATGTGCTTTTTATATTTAAATTATATCTCAAAGTTGATTTTAGAAAGAAAATATGTCTCTCTCTACATATATATAGTATATATGCAGTGTGCATATATATAGTATAAATATAGTATATACTTATTTTAAAGATTCAGAAGATATATTCAAAATTATAAAACAGTAATGTTTCAAAGGTGATATTACAAATATTTAACAACTGGAAAACACCAGCACTAATCAATCAAAATAAATGGTAGGTGTGAACAATCGGTACAGCCAACGCACATGAGTGAGGTGAGTGAGAGCCCAGGAAAACAATAGTTATCAACGGGTAGTGGGATTACTGGTGTCCTTTTTCTTCTTTTTGCTTATCTGTATTCTTAAATTTTCTGTAACAATCAGGTACTTTGAAATAAGAAAAATCTATTTTTAATTATAAAAAAGAAAAATGGTACCCTGTTGATATCACAGTTCATACTGTTATAAAATTCTAATGGATCTAAAAACCCTAATGGAACTTTTAAATAATAGATATGAGAAATGGTATACTAAAACAGCATTGAATTAGAAGCTAAAAATGGATAATGCTATAAAAAATATTTTCCATCTACACAAAGAAAATAGTGAGATATATTTTTAAATTATTTTACCATTTTAATATTTTAAAACACCTTCCCTTTGCTCCTATCCCAGCTAGATCTCTATATAATTGATTACATGTAAGAAAGAGATAGTTTCTTTCCTGAAATTGTCTAGGCTCCGAAATGCCATAGTGCTCAGAATTCGTTATTCAGTATTTTCCTATGGGTAACTTAGCCTAGGTCAAACTTCAGAATCCATCTGAACAAGTCAGGGAATTGAATGATAATTGTCAACCCTGGATAAATTTTTATGACAAAATTACAGCCCATGACAAGGAGAGTTGTTGCTGTCTCTGGCTAGCATGACTACCACCATCTCTACGGCTTATCACAGCAACAAACTTTTGCTGTCAGCAATTCTTCAGAGGCAAGCACAATAATAACCCGGCTACAAGAGCAGGCGCTGAGAAGCCATGAGCAGCAAATAATGACCAGGGAGTGCTCTTTATCATGTCTCTCTCTATTAACAAAGAAACCGCACCAGCTCCCCATCAGCCCAGTGGGGAGTCAACGGATGGTTTAGCCACAGGACTCCTTTCCGAAACTCCGAAAACCCCAGGGTAAAATTATGCTACTGTACAACCTCCTAATGTTGCTTTACAGCGCAGCTCAAATTTGTGATTTTAAAAGCACCTCAGCCCACTGTGAGTTCACAGTTATCTTTAATGATTTGCAAATCTCAGTGTGTTTAACAGCTCATGTTTGTGCTGTGGCTATGGTGGTAACACTGCACCTAAATAGTTATTGCTTATAATATCCTGGGCTGTCGGGATGTGTAGTAAATGGGAGGTGGTAGTGGTATCTTCCACCTTTTCTAGCCTAATTCACTGCTCCTCGACCTGAACACAAGCGTACTGAGTCTGATAGAGCGTGAGCCCTCTTCCACCTGGGCTCATGGGACCTCTGTCATCAGCAGCAGCTGCCCACCCTGCTCTGTTACACACACAGAAACAGGAAGCCAGAGACCACCAGGGTCTTTCCCTCCCATAGGAACAGAGGAAGACTGAAAGCTTGGACTTTGAAGGTGAAGGTCCACTTGTCCCAAGATCACAACTATAAGAAAAATATATGGAAGTTTTCACAAGCCACGCAATGTGGCATTTCTACAAGATAGTCAATTTTAAATTACATGACTAAATCCAGCTTCATCCAGACATTTTAACATTATCCATCCTCTATGAGAATCAGAATCACCTTCATAGTTGATAAGTATTGTGGAATTTTTCTTCCCTAATTCAAAAACATTAGGGATCTCTTATGTAATAAAATAATAATGATGGCAGATGTTTACTGAACCATTACCATGTGCCTGACAGTGTTCCAAGCTTACATACATTAGTTCCTTTAATCCGCAAAACAACCCGTTGTTATGATGAGTCAGGATTTGAACCCAGCATCTATCTCTGGAGTCTTGTCATACTAAGATAGATCAAGGATCATGGACCCTGTGCCCTAGAGGAGTGAACCTCTTCTGAAGCCACCCAAGGACTCAGAATGAAGTTAGCTATGGCTATGCTTCAAAATGTCTCTGGATGAACAGGAAAATCTCCAGGGTTATATATGTGTCATAACTGCCCTGCTTTACCAGTAAAAATCTTTTGTCTAAACAGAATACAGTTGGCTCTAGGGCAAGAGACTGTCAAAGATTTTCAAAAATGGAAATGACCCCACTATGATTCTTTAAGTTTAAAGTGCTCTTGGTAAATTCTCTAGGGTCCATTTCCATCCTCCGTATCCTTGTATGGGGCCCAAAGAGCTGACGATCACACCTCATCACAACATTATCAGCTACACTGAGGTTGCTTTCCACCTGAGAGTTCTCTCACTAGGCCCACTTAGGAGAAGCACACTGCCCAACCCATTTCCCCCCCCACCCCCGAGCCCTTCACCACGTTCCCTTCCAATCCTCAGCACCCTCTCTCTCTCTGGGAGCTGCCATCAATCAAGCTTCCAGAGCCTGCTTTGCCTGCAGGCAGGGAGAACCAGAGGGTCCCTCCAGAGCAGTCCTTGGCCATTCACTGACACACAGGGGCTATAAACACCCCAGCTCCCTCACCCTTGTGGAGACAACTCTGAGGTACGATTGCATCAACTCCAGAGCTCCCTCAAGTGGAGGCAAGTCTCCTATGATGGAACTCCACTTGACCTTGCACCCATGCTTGGCCTCGTTCACTTCCCTTCCCTGTCTCACTTCTCCACCTTCTTACTGGTTTCCCCAGCATCACTTTATAATAAATGACTTTCATGGACATTGGTGTCTTTGGTCTGCTTCTGGAGAACCTCATCTAAGAAAGGACACTGGCATGTAGAGAACTGAAGGGACACAGGATGTCTAGAAGCTCCCTCTGAAATGCCACCTTCACATCTAGTCTGAACAAGCACCTCGGGTCATTAACACTCCTACTCTTCACAAGGGGAATCTTGGTCCCTGAGCACAAATGGAAGGGTCTAATGATCCACTTGCATCATGCATGTTCATCCCTGAGCTACTTACTCCTCAATCATTTAAAAAACTACAGAGGTCAAGTTATTGTGAGAGAGGTGGCCACAGCATCCTCACATAGTATTACTGAATGGACATTCTTCATGAAGGAACTTTGAACTGATGCCCAAATAATTGTGCCTTCAACAAAAAGAAAACACAATGGATTCAACAGCTCAAGATGCTGGCTTGCAACCTAGGAGCCAGACGAATCCCTATGGTGCATAACTCTGTCCTCAAGCATGAGGTCTACAGAGGATAGTCCCTTGGAAAGTACGAGCCCAAATCCCTCATTTTACAGCCTTGGTTCCCCTGAATCAAATCCCCATGTTAAACAGTTCTAACAGTAGTTTTAAATTTTAATTACATACCCTACCAAAGCAAAGATCAAAATCTCTACAAAGGTTCTTTTTTATTTTTTATGATGAAGTATTTATTAGTATGTCTCTTTGGAATAGATTTTCCTATGCCAGGCCTGAAAAGCAATTGCACGTAGAAATCATTCTCAAAACACTTTTTTAAATTCTTGAGAGTCTGTCCTTCTTTCTCATCTCTTGCAGTGACATGTTAATGAGGAATAATTTAAATAGATTCTTATTAATAAGGTGAGAGGGAATGCATTGCATTTCAAAAATCATTTTTAAATATAAAACCTTCGGGAGCATCAATGTCTATAATACAGAAATTAAGATCCAAAGCTTCATCCACATGGAGTATCTAGATCTGGTGCATTTCAAATCAATCAAGATGGTAGTAGCAAACAATCTGCTTCATGCAATGAGTCAGCCTGATTGAACAGGTAGATTGACAATCTGTTAATATCAATGTAGACCACGTAAAAGGTCATCACTCCTATATGTGCATGACTGATAGTTCTGCATGTCTTTCCATCCTGGAATCTGAGCACCTGACTCTATGATCCAAGGGATTTGAGATTCCTCCAAAATGTTCCAAAGCAAATTTCAGGAGCTGTTCAACTGGACCCCAATTTTGAGTTAGGTGTTCACCTTTGATGATTTGAGAGGGAATCCGCCACCTGTAAAACGAGTGACACTTTGTTTGGCCATTGCGTAGGTGTTCTCCATGGGGATTCTGTCCTTGTTTCTGTAAGAGAGGAAGTGAAAGTTAGCTTCCCTAACATCTTTTCAGTCTTCTAAGTTTGACGTTTGTTGTTCGTAGGATGAGTTAGCCACTGAAAACAACTTTAATTAAAGCTTCTAGTTTTAGACAAGGTGGTTGTTTAAATCTAATTAGGTGTTCACTGGTAACACAGAAAATTCAGGGAAGACAATTAAATGTGAGATGTACTCTCCTAAGGTTGATCTCAATATGGACAGAAGACCTAATTATAAGTCAAACACTGTGGATTTGGTGACTTCTGACTTGTAATCATCTTCCTGCTTTATAAAACATTTGTTTAGTTCCAAAGATCAGTCATAAGACTCTTTCTCTTGCCTCAATTATAATGACTAATTCATCATTTATCAATTTTTATATTCCTAAGTTCTGGTGGAAACTTATAAATATTTACTACACACAAGATATCATCATCAAACTTAGATATTTATAAAACAAAATTTTCCTATGACTCTAGACAAGCAACCGTTATTTCTAGAAATAGTTTAAGACACAAGAAAAGCTGGGGAAGATTAACAAGATAGTATTTTTAGCAAAAAAGTGAGTTCTACTCTAAAATCTATAATGTATCTTCTATATAGATCTCCTTTAAATACACACACATACACACACACACACACACACACACACACACACACACACACACACACTTGCATTCAGGATTCCTGCAGAAGTAATGTACACAGTTATCTATTGTATAATTAGGGGTCTTACAGAACTGTGGTCCCCAACCCCCAGGGTGTGGACTGATACCAGTCCGTGGCCTGTTAGGAACTAGGCCACACAGCAGGAGGTGAGCAGTGGGGGAGCGAGTGAACCTTCATCTGTATTTACAGCTGCTCCCCATCGCTGGCATCACCACCTGAGCTCTGCCTCCTGTCAGATCAGTGGCAGCACTAGATTCTCATAGGAGCGTGAACTCTACTGCAAACTGCACATACGAGGGATCTAGGTTACATCTCCTTGTGAGAATCTAGTGCCTAATGATGTGAGGTGGAGCTGAGGCGGTAATGCTAGTGCTGAGGCATGACTGCAAATACAGATTATCAGGTTTGACTGCACAATGAATGAAATGCATTTGAATCATCCTGAAACAATTCCAACCCCTGGTCCATAGAAAAATTGTCTTCCATGAAACTGGTCCCTGGTGCCAAAAAGGTTGGGGACTGCTGTTATAGAAAACATCTATGGAATCCCTGTTGATAAAAATTTAGCAAACAGCTAAGACCAAAACCAATTAGATTGGACAACTATGAATGATTACCCCAGGGGAATGAATTCTGCCTTTTGGAAAAGAATCTGACTGGTACTGCAGGCTCTAGACCAGTCTGGTGGTTAGTGGGGGAGTCAGGGGTAGGTGGGGGTGCAGGTCAGGATCAGAGTGTGATGAGAAGAGTGTTTGAGAGAAACAAAAGAAGGTAAACATGTAAAAATGATATGAGTTGCTATTTGATAAAGGGCATGTATGGGGAGAACATCCACAGAGATTATACTAAATCATTGCACTTGGAGAGAACCTATAGAGGATTAGTTAATCAACCCAGCTGTCTCTTAGCAGCATTGATTTCGTGATTGTAAAAAACCATCCTCCACAAATAGGACAAAAGCCTTAGCCTTGAGTGGATCCAGCAAAGAGGACTCCTTCCTGCACTTTGGCAACTTGTCTGGTATCAGAGGCAGCAGTGCCCCCACCCCCCACCCCCGCCCTCCCTTGCCTTAAATAACCTGAATTTTCCTTTCTGAAGGAGCTTAAGCTTAATGCTTCTGGCTTGGTCTAAGCTGACTAATGGGAATACTGTCTCCGTTATATTATCTTTTTAGTGTATTTATAGACCAGTATAATGACTCCCTCAGCCTGCTTCCTTCCAGTCAAAACTTCTCAGCACTTTTGTTCCTGCCTCTGCACATTTTTCTTCAGCACTTTAGTCTGTCTTGCTGTTCTCCTACGAACTCCTCTCTCTGTCTACCCGTTTATGGATCCTCAAGTAGACGGACCCACCAGTGAAACCCTAACCAGTCAGAGTGGCTACAAGTAATGAGCACATGAAGACAGGATGAGGACAGGCAAAGGCAAAGGTTCTAGAGCAGCTGCATTCAACAGAACTGTCCGTGGTGCTGAACAGCCCTAGATCCAGCCACCAGCCTCGTGTGGCTATGAAAGTAGCTAGCAAAACTGAGGAATTGCATTTTTAATGTGATTTCATTATAAATTCATTTAAATTAAATAGCTACAGGCAGCCCATGGCTGGGGCAGCACAGTGCCATGGATGGGCCATTGAGTATGGCTCAGCCAGTGACGGGTGGCCCATCATGCTGTCTGTGTCCATCAAACCATGGGGGCAGGCCACCAGTGGGCAGTGAGGGCAAAGACTTGGCCAAACCCCAGGGCCAAGGCAGGAAAGTTCATCAGCTCTGGAGAGACAATTAACTGTTTAGCCAAGCAAGCTGTTTGTAACTGTGTAAACTCAACCACTGGTCTCAAAATGGAGAACATGAATTCTAAAACATGAAAGAGATGATCCACTGGGGATAGAAAGAAGATACTAGAGATTCTATTTATAATTCTATCTTGAAAAATTAAAAATTATGCTTTACCAATAGTCGCAAACTGACATTGGTATCTACATGTAATTGATAAATTAAAATATATTGGAGGGTAAATCTAAAACTCTTCTACAATAAAAATTTTATTTTTAAGAATATGCATACTTATGGGGGGGTTGCAAGTTCAAAAATGTTTTACTGATGAGGGTGTGCAATCCAAAAGCTTGGAGACCACTGAGCCAGACATCTGCTTCATGCGGAAACCAGCCATGTGGACATTTTATGAGCACAACCTTATATCCTAAGTGAAATCTATAGTGCTTCCACTCCAGCATTCATTTAATTCATACTGTTAATGTTAGTGCTTCTCAAACTTCAGTGTACATGAATGTCACCTGAAGGTCTTATTAAATTACAGATTTCTGAGGCCCATCCAGAGCTTACAGAATCCAAATATCTGGAAATGGGGCCTGGAAACCTACACAGTTAGTAAATCTCACTAGAACTACACATTAAGACAGACTTATCTAAATTATAGCAGTATTTTACTCCACCCAAGGAACTGGCACCTAAACCTGGGACAGGGGAGTATTCTGATTTACAAGAAGGGCACATTTTTACTGGCAAATGAATTCACATCCAGTTACTTTATATAGCTATTTGCCACTAACGAATCATAGGCAAATGCACTCAAACCATATTTCACCCTGTGCCTGAAATGTCCATGTGGATAAGTACCAAACGTGACGTTCAACCCATAACGTGAGTCACTACAGAATTAGCTGGATGATTCTGGCAACACCATGCAGCCAAACCAGTTACAAACCTACCGATTCATCCGGCCCTTGCTCTCACCCTGGGATCAGACTAATGATACCAACAATGTGAAGAGAACATTTACTCTTTAACATGTAGGGATCCTGAACCCCAAAACATTAACCTCGTATCTGCATTGTCATCTTCTAGCAGAGTAATGCTCACATGGATACAATAGATGCTGAAATCAGTTACTAGATACAAAAGATAGTTCAGAGATCATTTATCTGAAACATAGGTAAATTACAGCAGTAGAGCTGCATTTTTAGAAAGAATACCTTTACCAAGCTTTGCCCTCTTAGCAATAGTACATGTGGTTTTAAATGTGAACACGCTTCAGACTGTACGAGGCTGATTTTGAACCTCATTTGCAAACACAGTTTTGGCATGATTATCTCCAAACCATGAGAACAGTGTGGAAGGGAAAATCACATCCTATTTCCTCTGCTTCAGGTTAGACCCACCAAGGAGAGATATTACTGGGTCCCTATAAGGGTACTAGGGAGGGCCTCAGTAGCGGATGAGACGCTGAGCTTGCTCTAATACAAACCCAGTTCGTGACCTGTAGAATGTTACTTGTTCACCATGTAACTTAGTTTACCCCAGTGAAATCTGCAACTCTGTGACTGTCCACCAAATATTTCTTATGAGCAGACAGTAGACACAACAAAATTAGAACATTTGACCCCTTCTTACTTCTGAATCTGTTCTTTACGTTTCTGAGCAAGATATTTCTTCTTTAAATTCAGCAGTTCATTGGTAAGTTTCTCAATCTCATACTTGTATTCTTGGCTCTGCGATTCATACATATTCAATTCCGAAGACAAAACCTAACATGGCAAATAAAGTAGCATTAACAAAATTGAGACAATATCCTGTTCTGAATACAAAATCTTTTAATCTGCTATCATTTACCTCAGTGAGCTAGAGGCACAAAACAATACCCAGGTTTTAACAATTAATCTGTGCACTTCCACCAGCTCAAAGTCCACATCTGGGTAAAAACCTGGCTGAGGGCTGCAGACACATAATCAAGTGGCAAATAAAACATCGTTCTCCTGCTTAAAAGGAGAACTATCCGGCAATATTCAAACAGGCTTGCAGATGAATGATGCAATGTGCTTCAAGGAGCATGGTGAATAGAGACAGAAAAACTCCCAGACACACAGTCTAAAATGGCTTTTAAAGCTTTTAAAAAATATATTCAAGAAAAACATCACTAGGGAATGTGATTCATCTGAGGATGGTGGTAAAAATTACTCTGAAATCATCCTGCCACCCCTGTTAACTAAGCATTCAATTTATGTGTTTTCCAAGGTGGCTGTTCTGCTAAATGCCGTGTTGTTTGGGACTATTCACAGGTTCTCCCTTTGTCCCAGCACTGGGACACTTACCTCTAAGATGCAGGGAGCCGAGACACATGCACAGAGTCTAGTGCAAGAAAGGGGCTGTCGAAAGAAGTCATCAGCCTCTTTCCATGGCTGCGTTCAATAGATGCCACTGGTCTCAGGCTAGACAGTAAGAGTGGGAGGCCACCTATCTGAGAGGACACAGAGCGTGCCAAAGCTAGGTTGTGCTCCCCAGCAAGACCAAAAGGAGGAAAGGAAGGCTACTGTTCCAAGGGGCATATGATATATCCCATTTATGTTTTCCTCTTGCTCTCTATTTTAAAGATTTGCATAAAAGGGAGATCTTCATCTTTCTAGCATTCATCTGCTTCTGAACTCATTCCAGTTAATGAAATGATTCTGGGAAAATGAATCTGACCCTGCTATCGTGAGCTAATGCACGTGATTTTCATGTTAGAAGAAAACCTGTCTCAATAGTTAAACTCTTAGAAACAAAGACCCTGTTTCTAAACATAAATGTAGAATTTCCTAAGAGTCCAGTTAATGAGGATAAACTGTTAGACATGCTCAGCATCACCTATCTCTGAACCTCTTCCATGAGGTGTCATATCTCATTCTTAGCAAAAAAAAAAAAAAAAAAAAAAAAACAAAAAACCCTGGATTTCCTGAGATAAAGGGTTAAAGTAACAAAAGGCTCCTATGAATTATGTCAAGCAATCTGGAGCTTAGTGTGGACAAGACAGACATGTGCTGTTCTAATCTATAACTACCCCTGAGAAATCAAGAAAATATTTTTCTATTTTGTTTGAAATATTCAGTTGTTTAAAGGAACAAAAATAAAAGCTCATGCCTTATGCAAACAATGTCTCAGGATACTCACGTGAAATGGACATTCAGAGGGACAAGCTGAAAGTCAATGCTCTAATTAGACTTCTGTCTCATCTGCCCTTTTTAACTAAAAGGAGGCAATCTTACAATGTCCTATTTTCAAAAGGGCTACTGCCATCCTAGCAGGGAGGCATCTATTTCACCCTGGACAGAAAGGCAACAATTATTACGCTCATTGGGCAGGTAAGTGCCAGAATGCAGCTGGCACGTGCTTCGTCCCGAGGATGTGTGTGGAAAACTTTCCCCGACATGCCAAGAATATCTAAGTACTCGCTTAGGAGGTAAAGCTCAAAATATAGTGTGAACACAATTTTTTAAGAAAACTTTAAAAAGGCACATAGAGAAGTAAAACACTCTGTCTCCCCTACTGAGGTTCCCATGTGACTTAGAAGGGAATTATGCTAACAACATTCTGGCCTGATTTTATTTCCCTTGCGTGGCTGCTTATCTGACAGTTGGCCATGAAGCAAGGCCCTCGGGGCTGGGCAGTGGCCGGAGATCCGTGGACGTTTATCTCAGATGGGGCGGAATAGCAGCAACCCGCCGGGGCACGGTGGTCTGCTTCAGCTGGGCGATGGTGTTCAACTGTTTCCTCTGCTGCCCGTCACCCTCCAAGTCCTCTAAGTCACCCCTACGAGCCCCATCCCCACATTTCCATTCCACTGCCATGAGCCTCTCCCCGAGCCCCTCCTCTCTGGCTCGCCTGCCTCCCTGGCAGTGGACGGCGGTGGTGTCCAGGAGGATAGAAGGTTGCCCAGCTCCCCTGGGACTTTCTCAGCCCTGAGAAAGCTGAGCTCGGGACAGGGTGGCATTTGGGAGAGCAGTTCCTCGTGCCGAGGCTGTGGACTTGCCCAGGCATATTCCCCAGGGCGTGGCTGCCCTTGGAGCAGGAAAGAGCCACGGCGCCACTGACCTTAAGCTGCTTGGTCTTCTCCCGCAGCGTGTGGCGGTAGATCTGCAGCTGTTCCGCAGCCTCAGGCCCTGGCTGCCGGGCCAAGATGTGCTTTAGCTCCACGTAGAGCTTCTCCTTTTCCTGGTGGAGAGCATACCCGTGAGCAGAGGGAAACAGCCCGTGAGAACAAGGAGAGTGGCTTTGACAGCATGGCCAGGGTCATTTGGGACTGACAACACTCGCTCGCCGATCCACCCAAGCATGCGTCAGACCACAGACCATAACCTGCCTAGGATGTGCCCGGCATTTGGACACAAACAAAAAGACAGTGAGTAAGAGAAAGTCCCTCTCTACCTGCTCATAGGAGCCACGACTGTGAGACAAGGGCAGTGACGGGAGATCGCCACACAGTGTTGCCACCAGTGAAAGCAGAGAGTGATTAACTCTGGTTTGAGGAGTTAAGGGAGCTGTCACAAAAATACCACTTGAATCACCCCTGCAAGAATGAGTGGGAGTCTCTCCCCCAAGGAGAGGGAGAAAAGCGCTTGTTAGGCCACGATTGAGGGACGGGAAGGGAGCTGCAAGTGCAGCGGTGACTGTGATGTCACATGGGATCTGGTTGGGGACCACATCCTTCGGGCAGTTGGGGGCCAGGGATGAGCCACGCCTGGGTTTGTCCTTGGAGAAATAACTCCAGGAGCAAAGCAGAGTACCAAACAAGGGGACTGCCCAGCACCAATATAAGCAGAAGATGAAGAGAGCACCTGGGATGGAAGGTAGGCAGAGGTGAAGACAGCTCCAAGGTGGAACCACTGGGATTTGGTGAACAATCAGACCAGTGAGGAAGGGAGAGGGAGGAGCTGAGATGACTCCAGGTGTCTAAGGTGGGCAGCCGGGGTGGGGGTGGAGGGTGGGAGTGAGAATTATTGGAGACTGGGGAGGCTAGAAGAGGAGCAGGTGTCGGGGAACAGACATATGACTGCAGATCTGTACATTAGGCCATATTGAGCTTGAGCCCTGTGGGGTGTCTAGGAGAGGAGTTGACAATATGAGCCCAGAGTTGAGAAGCAGAGGCCAGGTTAAGTCAGAACAACTAGATCTACAGGGAACAAGAACACATGGGCAGCTAAGGAAGAAAGACCAGAGAAAAAGAATGAGGGAAAACAATGCAATGTCCCCAAAGCCAAGAAAAGGCAGGCATTTAAAAAGGGAGGAGTGACCAGTGTGGTGAGTGACATCAAGTGAGGCAAAGGGGAGAAAGAGGAGAAGGACTGCAGACAGCCTTTGGGGTGAGCTGTCAGGACATCACCGCTGCCCTCGTCGGAAAGGCTGCAGTGACATTTGGGAATTGAAAGTCACACAGGTTGAAGAACAAGTCAGAAGAAAATGAAGAAAATGAACCTTTTAAGAAATATGTTGGCATGGGAAAAAAAGAGATCTGGAAATGGTTTGAGGGAATAGGTAAAAATCCAGGAAAACTAGGAGATGCAGATCTGTAGACCTAAAAGAAAGGATTTCCTAGGAACCTAAAGCAAAGCATACTTCTGTAACTTAATTTAAACAATAAACAATTTGGAATTCCCATTTGTATCTTAGAGTTTAATTGCTTGTAACATGTTTTCAGATCCTTGAACTAAAGATATTACACATGAGCAAAGATTTATTTCTAAAGCATCTCAATTCTAGATTCCCATGCCTCCAAACTGCAATAATTTGAACAAGCATGGATAAAGACTAGTGTGTCTACTCATTAGTCTCTGTACATATTTATTTCCTTAAAGTAATTATGTTAAAGAAAAAATATGATAAGTACAAGCCTTCTCATTAAAGAAAACATCCAGTCAAATGGAAACTAATTTTTACCTAGAGCTAAGGGTTCTTAGCATGGTCATCAAATAATCTGCTCTTGCCAGAGAACATAAAAGTCATTAAAAAAAATAGGTGAAAGAAAATTCATTAACTAGTCATTGTTACCATTTTTTTTTAGTTTTTCTTTTTCCCTGGCCAAATTAATAGAACCTTTATTACAAATAACATAGCTCTACTTACAGAAGAGTGTATGCAACTTAAATATTATTAGATGGAATAAGTTTCTGGGGGAAAAAAACCATACAAAAATAATACTTATCATTTAAGAAATAATTCCAGAAATGACAAGAAAACTCCAAAGCCTGTGCTAAAGAAGAAAAGTTGAACAAATAGAATTACAAAGTGGTGATTTTCCCTCGCTGTACAACACCTGTCACACCTTACAATATAATCTTCACAGTAAATGGATGTAGCAAGCAAAGAGAAAGATATCAGGAGGTGAGTTTATTTTCTATAGCCACTTAACGCCTGCTCTGTTGGAAAAATAACACTTCTGACAAGGCTTCAAGATTCAATTTGGAAAGGGTAATAAATATGTGGAGAAGCCCATGAAACTGTTTTGTCCATTTCTGTTGGCTCATCTTTTTCTATACCAGAGTACAGGTAGACTTGAAAAGTAAAGAACCCCGCAATGATGAAGAGGGAACAAAATCTGCTTTGGTATATAATAATGTCTTAAACTGAAAAGACCATCTTACTTCAAGAACCTTGAAATGTTTTCACAGGTGTAATTCTTTTCAATTATTCTTGGTAGATCGGGAGGCTAGAGACACAGAGAAGAAAGTTTGGAAGAAGCAAATACTGTTACCTCACCACATAGGTGAGAATCCCAAGATCAATAGGAATTAATGGTGTCTCCAAACTCCCTCAAAAAGTCAAAAACCTAGTATGCCCAAGAATCACTTTTCCTGTGCAAAACTTCCCCTGGGGCTTGAAGACATGCTATCACCTTGAAAAGATCTGAATCAAGTTGAGCTACAAAATTCCCAAAGACTACGTGATCACGTCAATAGAAGAATCAAGCCGGAAGATGGAATCAAGTTCAAAGCCAGGTTAGAGGGTATTACAGGTAAGAGCACGACTCCACTCCTCCAACTGCTCACCTACACCACCTGAATGAGCCCCCCCATGTCCTCCAGCAGGAAGTACGGTCTGCTGGCACCGAGTGACTGATGACATTTAACCTGTCTTCTTCTATCACTTCCAGTTTTTGTTTCAAGACCGTAACATTCATTAAATTGGATTTATTTGAATAAATAAATGAGCATTTAATAAATAAATCTCATAAATAAATAACTGAGTGTTCAAAAACTAAATAAGCCACCGAATAATAAGGCTCACGAGTATGAAGGAAAGTGAAGAAACTGAATGAGTTACCATTAAAACTGTCTGAGCATTCAACGTCAAAAAGTTCTGAGACTGAGATAACCCAGGACAAGTAATGCCCGTGTGTTCATGGTGGGTGGAAGAAATACCAAACGAAACTTCAGGGACGAAGACAGTGGAATGCATGAAGAGCAGGGCCAAAGGGGATGAGGAGTAGCGGCTGGAATGGATCGTCAGGCTTCAACACGCATTCATGTCGGTCTGTGCCCACAGCAGAAAACCTGACTGATACAGCCAAAGTGAAGTCTGGTCAACATTAACATTCTAGCTGTGTGCATCATACAGATTTGTATTTTGGAAGAACGTGCTAGTAATTTAGATAAATATGAAGTGTTTGATTGATTGAAGGTCTTAAGTACGATTGTCTTCCAATTTATTTCCCTCCTAACCCTCTACAAGGGCCAACCAAGCTCTTCAAACATTGTGCAATGGTGTGTATAATAGCCCCATTTACAGACAAAGCGTGCAATTCTATTATAAAGAGAATCTATCTTATGCAACAGAGACTCATTAGCTGTCCAATGTATATCGTCTCCATAAGCCAGCAGTGGCAGAACCAGCTGCCTTATAATACATGTCCTGTCCTTCTTCATTAAGCCACATCCATTTCTCTTTAAACCTAGTCAATTAATTTGTCACTTGGTTAGAAGCACCATATGTCAATGAAACATCATAAGACAATCATAAAGAGTTTTTTATTTCCTCACCAACAAAAGACTGCATCTTCTGGTTGGCATTTCTTTATATATTTAGAGTTTGTTCACGGTGCACATCAATACCACTTTGTAGCATGCCTCACTCTTTAAATTATCTTATGAACAGCTATACTGGAATAAAGTTAGACTATTAATACAAAGAGACCAGCTTTGTCTTTGGCTGAGCATGTCTTGAGAGCACTAACCATACTATGTCCATCCTTAAAATGATACTCTCTTCCTAGACATCCTATTCTCTCAGTTGGACAGATTGTCAGAAATTATTATGGATTCTTTTGCTACAAGAGTCTCTGCCAAGTTATGATGGGTAACATAATCAGCACATCTCATTGTCAATATCACCTGAGTATAGTGGTAAGAAATTAATTACAGTATTAGCTTCAAATAATGTTGTCATTATATGGTGACAGTCTGTAACTCCATATTGGAAACTCCAACTACCTGAACAGTCTGTGCAAATAAGAGTCGGTGCTATTCCAGGTACAATTCAGAGGAAGAAATTGAGTTGCTCACAGAACTCCTTTCCCCATCGAGCTACAGTTTTATAATCACTGTCTGTTTATATTCTCTGCCTTTTCTTTGCATCTTCAGCTGAAAACAGAAGGTAGTTCATATTCGATGTGCACCTTAGGACCCCTTCTTCCTCAGCTCATCTACTTGAAGCGATAACTGACTGAGAGGAACTAATTTATTCTGTTTTCATCTGAATCTGTGTTTGGCAAATGCCAGTGCATTGATTCTGCTCACCCTGGAGTCATCAATTTGCTTGGGCAAGAGTTGGGAATAATCGCCTCACTCTGTGAACAAGCTGAGTCATGTGAAACAGGCAGCTTTCTTTCAGACCAAAGACTTATCTTTGTAGACACTTATCTACACCCACCAGGGCAAGAGCCACCACTCAGATGCTTAAGTATCAGGAGCTCCAAGGAAAGAGATACCATTCTGCCTTCACTCTAGCCTCACCGAGTGGGTTCAAAATAAGGTTGATTTTTTTAAAATCCCATAACCGTACTTCTGAGAGAACCTACTTCACAGAACATACAGAAAATCTCTTTTTCAAAATGTCAACAGACATCATCTGTGTTGCCACCTACAGTATTTTATCCTTGTGAATCAATACTTTCTATCCAATCAAACTATGAGCATTTAAGGCCAGAACCACGGTGGATC